GTTTAATGGACACCAACGACGAAGCTAACATGCTAATAATGTCTAACTAACAATTTGACTCAATTTTTTTTATACATAAAGATAACTCCACATGATAAAATATAATATAATATAACTAAATTTATCATCTCGTTTCGCTAACTAACGTTGACTTTGGATTGTAATAACGATTAATTTGCGTGAAAAGCTGATTGCAGTATACTATTAATACAATTTCTTCAGATATTTTTAACTATTAATATTCGATCATATGCACATGCATATATGTTTAAATTATTATAAGTTAGATGTTTTTATATAATATTATTAAAATCACAAGTTAAATAATAGTATCACATTTAAAAAAAAATATTAGTAAAAATGAACATTATAAAAGTATTCAATTTCATCACTATATTGATTGTATAAAATAAAATAGATAACGTAGTTTTTATAAATTTACGAGATCCTGACCTATTAGTTATCTTAGAAATTATTATTATTATTTATGAATTTTTATGAGGCTTACTTATACCACTAAAGCCAATTAGCTTGTTAAAAAAATTGAAACGTTAGTATTTTACGAGAGTGTGCTCAACGATGTTAGAACACAAATAAACAACTAAAATAGCGGAAGCAATAAACCGAAAATTTGAAAACTCTTCAGGGAAGCGTCCCACTTCCCCTCAGAGCTCTTTCATTGATAATTCGATTGTGCACATGTGTATAGTTTTGGAATTACAGCAACTAGAACTCCCTTCTAATCTAACCAACAACTATACTCGAATCTACCAACTACTTCTCCGGCCAAGTCCTGTGGACTTTAACTCTCGAATCCCTCGAGCTAAAAATAATTTAATCCCTAAGTACAGATCACAAAAGTGTTTGAATAAAACAAAGAAAAAAAAAAAACAAAACGACTTCAGTTCTTTGATATGTAAGAACACCGAAAACTGAATCGAGAACTAAAATAAAAGAAGACTTGAAGCTCGAATAGTATGTGAATAATAATGATCTCATCAGCCTTGATTCGATCTTCAAGTAGGGTATATATACAATTCCTTAGGCATGTAGTCTTCTCCAAGTTCTTCTTTTTCCTTTTAGGAGTCAATTTCCTTCTCAATTGATTCCTTTCAGATTTTGGACGAAATCCTTCATGTAAAGTAAGTTTCCTTGATGTAGAATTCGTGTATGTGATTTGGAGATCTTCATGATTGAGTTTTCAATGGAAATCTCGTGTTTTCAGACTCGTGTAAGAACATGACTTTCCTAAAATAGTCAATCTTCCAAATCTTCAAAGATCTTGTAGTGAATCTTTCCAAATCCTCTTTAGATCTTCTCATGAACGTCCAGAACTCCTTATGCACGAATTGCTCATCCTTTCATGGTCCTTGCCACTTATTCCTTGTCCTACAAGAAAGAGAAAACTAATTATCGCATAAAATCAAGCTCATTAATGCATGTTGCATATATGGTAAGTACATATATAAGATATATATTATGTAATCCTTCTCCTAAAGGTTTAGGACTCCATAATACACATTATAATAAATATATAACATATATTACTAATAATATATAATAAGAACTTAATTAATTAACAAGTAAATAAATAGAAAACTTCCCTTTAATTTATTTTGCTTGCCTAACAAGAAAATCTTCTAGAAAACACTTAGGTTTTTCGGATGATGCCAAACCAATATTCTTACAAATATGATTAAGAGCAATAAATAGTTTAAGAAAAAAATTTGCAATGTAATTTTTTATACTTATTGAACTTCCATATATCATTTAGTGTGAATTATAATTGGTTAGCTTTAGTAATTACTATTATATAATAGAATAACTAAAAATATGATTATAATTTAATTAACTATTATTAAAAAGTCATTGATTATGTTTCTGTTACTGTTTAAAAGAAAAAAATTATTGGACTGTAACGGAAAAATGTAGAAAATTCAAATAATTTTATTAAAAATTTTGTTAACAATTATATATATGGTTCAAATATTTATTGATTAGTGAGTTGTTTAATGTTTTAATTAAAATAATAATAATAATAAAGTAACATATTTTGGTAACCTTTTTTGGATGGAAAATAAATGAGGTTTTATTAATTGATTTGCCAGCAATTATATCTAAATAGGTAGTTGCTGATTAAATTAAGTAGGTGACACACATATACAATTAGGATTTGATTGGTAAACATTCATAATCGATCAGAATTTTTTAATTCATTTTAACACAAAATTTAACTCAATCAAATTATCCTTTAATATTATCAAATAATTAAATAATATCAATCATACTCCTATTATATTACGTCAATTTTAATTCAATAATCATCAACTCACATATTTTAATTATATATCACTTTAAATGATCTCTCTTCAAATGAAGTTCGTTCTCTATACAAGAAAAGTCTTTTAGGCCCTTCATTTTGAGTGTTTCAGTTATCTTCATTGTAAACAAAGTCTTTTAAATATTATTTTAATATAAACTCAAAATCTTATTAATAACTAATCATACCATATTTTTCAAATTAACCTCATTAACAAAACAAAGAAACACGTTTTGAGCGGATATATTTGTATCCATGCATTCTTTTAAGATTTTTAAAAACTTTTTAAGACTTTCTAAATTCTGGTGTAGTTAAATTAGGCTTTTAAGACTCCTAAAAGTCTTGAGGTATTCATTTGAGATTTTAAAACTTCTTACAAAATCCTAACGTATTTAATTTATTTGAGATTATGATTTATTAAAACTTTTTTAAGATTTGCTACATATACGAAATCCCACTCCAAATCTCACATTTCGACTTATGATTTTACAAGATTTCTCCTAAATCTGAAAATCTTCAAAAATTTCAAAAATCTCACTCGAAATCCCAAATGAATACATCCCCTTCATATTCACAACCATAACAAAAGATATCTCAATTTAACAAACCCTCTACAAAAATTGAATTGGAAACATATTCTTGCAACCATAGTAAATTGGAGAAGTATTTTAGGTGCAAGACCATTAGAGATGCTCTTTTAGTGTATTTAATCTTATTTAAAATTTTAACCCGTCAAATTTATTAATTAATATAGTAAAAAAATGTTTAAATATTTAGAAAAAATAAAGAAATTAAAAAAATCAAATTCAACAATTAAAAATCAACTATCCACTTATACAATCATTATAAGAAACTATCTTATGATACAATCATCAAAAACTTTCTCTCGGTTGTTGATTGGTTGATTCGGGATTGATTCAGGGCTCGGTTTGGCTACTGTATAGGCGTTCGCAGTTTCGGTAGTGTTCTCTCGGACTTGGAATATTTCTTGTGTCGATTGTTTCACTGCTGGTTGGGTCTGTTCGTTTGCTGGGAAAGGGCTCTGTGTTTATTTTAGTTTCTGTTGTTTTGTTTTGTGTCGTCTGTGTTTGTATTTGTCCCGTGTTTGTTATTGTGTTTTAGGTCTGGACCGTTGACCTCAGTTAGTTCGAGTGTGACTTTATTATCCTGTGGGGATCTATGCTCGGGCATTACCCTCTGAGGGTCGTTTTTAGTGTTATTGTGTTTTTTCTGTGTGTTCCCGACTATTACCATGTTGGGGTCGACTTTAGGCGGTCTTTTGACCTGTCCTCCCATTTTATGCAGTTGTTGGCTGGTTGTATTCAGTTGTTGGCTGTTTGTAGGGGTGTCCATAGGTCGGTTAGGTCGACCGACCGAACCGAACTACAAAAATCGAATTAACCGAATTTTTAAATTTCAAAAACCAAACCGACCGAAATAAGTACCTAAAACCGAAGTATAACCGAACCGAATTGTTCGGTCGGTTGGGTCAGTTAATCGAATTTTTACAAAAAACAATTTCTTTTGGATGAGAAAAAATTCAGCAAAAGACAAATGAAGACGAACAATACAATTCAGGAAAAATTCAGCAAAAAACAATTTTTACAAAAAACAATTCAACATAGCTCTTATGTAAATAAATGAGAAGAAACTTTTGATGTTCTCCCAAATCCCTCACAATTACAGATCCACAAGGACCAACAATACAAGTCTGGCAGAAAAAAAAGAATAAAAAAAATAAAAAAAAAATTGATAGACGAAATGACGAATCCATAAATAAAGATTCCTCTTGAACTTAACGAAATAGACGAATCAACGAGACGACGACCATAAATGAAGACGCACGCAGCTACTTGAACGGAGAAGACGATTTGGGGGACGATTTAGGGCGGAGAAGCAGCGGCGGCGACGGAAAATTTCGGGCGGCTGCGGATTTGGGGAAGAGACGAGGAAGAGGAATGACCGAGTGAGTAGGGGCGAGATTCTGAATGTAGTTTATCTGTATTCTGATTCTGAATGTTTAGGTCCTTTAGGAATTATTAGGGTTCAAATATTATATTATAATATACAATATAATAATGTATATTAATATATTATATATATATGATATATATATATATATATTATTCGGTCGGTTCGATTTTTCCGGACATTTTATGTCCGAAACCGAAACCGACTGAAAAAATCAAAAATTTACAAATTGAAAACCGACTACCGACCGAGTCGAACAAAAATCGAACCGAAATGGTCATTTCAGTCGGTTCGGTCGGTTCGGTCGATTTCGGTCAAACTTTGCACATCCTTAACTGTTTGTATTCAGTTAGTGACTGTTCTTCTATATATTTGTACGTTTTTATATAAAATTTCTATCGGAAAAAAAAAAAGAAATACAATCATACTAAAGACAATCGGTCACTATCAAATTGTGTGATATATTTTTTCTTCGGAAAAAAGCTTCGAACACGTGGAAAAGTTCTTTATCAGAGTCCGCCACGTCGATATTGGGAATATTTTGGCTAATCAACAAGCAATAAAGCAAACTATATAACCAATTATTGCTTACAAAAGCATCCAGATTCCATCGGAGAGTAGAGTTTTCTTTAATATAAATAAAAGCCTCCGTCATTAATTTAAATTTTTTGACAACACTTTAAAGCTTTCCACACGCTTTCAAAACCACATTCGCATAAAAATGCGAACCCTACTACAGTGAAATTTGAAGATATCGTAAATGGAGGAAAATAACAATCAACCACCAAATTTGCAAAATCAGCCTCCAAATACTGGAAATCTCATAACGGTCCTCAGCATCGACGGCGGAGGTATACGAGGTATTATCCCGGGAGTTCTGCTCGCGTATTTAGAATCCCAGCTCCAGGTAATAAATAAACTATTTCCAGTTTAATTTGAGTGGAAAAAAAAGGCATATTTGAAGTTGCTTTTTTGCAAACCACGTTTTTTCAGTTTAGTTGGATGTATGTAGGAGCTGGATGGTGAAAGCGTGAGAATTGCAGACTATTTCGATGTAATTGCAGGGACGAGCACCGGAGGGCTGGTGACGTGTATGCTGACGGCACCTGATAAAAATACTAACAGACCGCTTTATGCCGCCAAGGATTTAGTTCCTTTCTATTTGGAACACTCGCCTAGCATTTTTCCTCAGCCCAGGTCAAATTATTTTTGTTCCTTTTATTGTCAGTAAAATAATATGTAAAATAATATGTATGGGTCATTTATACTACAAATAGTGAATAGTTNAGAAGAAAGAAAAAGTCTTACTTTAGGGGTAGAGTTGTTAGTCGTGAACTCTGCTCGATAATGTTCGAATTCAATTCGTTAATATTGATAAACGACTCGAGTTCAAGAATGTTTATCGTCTCGTTTTGTATCAACTCGTTTATACCTCAAATTATGAGGCCAACAGAAAGCTTTACGAATCATCTCCATCATTGATCTTGAAACGGCTACAAGATCCAACTATCTGAAAATAAATAAATAAAAAATAATAATAATAATAATAATAATTGTTGGCGGGTCGTTGACTCAATGGGTTTGGTGGGCCGGTCAGTAGGATGAACCCACCGGCTCAATGGGCCAACCCAGCCAGTGGCCGTGGAGCTGCAGTTCGGCTCATGTTTCATAGACTAGAAAAGTCCTTCTGTTTTTGTAGATTTTCGAAGGAACTACTGAGGGCGTGCTTGTTTACAAAATATCTTATTCACATGGGGTGTATTCAATTGAGATTTCAAGTGACATTTTGATACATTTTAATATTTTTGATTTTGGAGGAATTTTGTGAAATTTTAAGTCTGGATGTGGGATTTGAAGTGAGATTTTGTATAAGTTTTTTTTTTTTAGAAATTCCATCAAATCTTAAAAAGTCCTAACAAATCCTAGTCTCAAATAAGTTAAACACCTAAGACTTTTTAACATCTCAATTGAATACCTCAAGACTTTTAAAAGTTTTAACAAATCTAAATTGAATACACGAGAATTTCTAAAGTGTTATAAACTCTTTAAAAATTTTAATTGAATTTATACCCAAAATTCAAATTGCAACGAATTTCGAAGCATTTGAGGGCTAATTAATTTTAGAATATGTAAAACTGCAGGGATCCATTTACAGGTTTGATGAGTAAGGTGAAGGGCTTTATAGGGCCAAAATATGATGGAAAATATCTCCACGCTCTAACAAGACAAATGCTGGGTAACACCAGGTTGCATGAGACCTTAACCAATGTTGTCATTACATCATTTGATATCAAGAAACTTCAACCCGCCATTTTCAGCTCTTATACGGTATGATTAATTTGGTGTGCAATTTATTTCTATAAAATAAACAAATGAGGAATTTATGAAGGGAAAATGGGATAAATCGTATATCTAATAAACTTTGAAATTTGAAATGCTCAAATGATAGTAATTTTAATTTTGCAGGTCATTAAGTGCTATATTTATTTTGACTGATTTTTAATTTATTTTTTGTAGGCGCCAAAGGACTCTGCAATGGATGCTCTGTTATCAGATATATGCATCAGCACCTCAGCTGCACCAACTTTCCTCCCTCCTCACTATTTTGAGAACAAAGGGACAAAATTCGATCTCGTAGATGGTGGTGTTGTAGCAAATAATCCGGTAATTTCAACGCAATAAATTAATTAATAAATAAGAGGAAAAAAATAAAAATAAAAAGTAAGTCAAAGATTAAGTTCAATTACAAAAAAGTCAATTTTCTGTACAAATAAAAAGTCATTTTGTTGACATTTTGTAGCCCTAATGTTAATTAGTTAGGCAACCATAATTCGGACAAATATATATTTGTTCATGCTTAAATGTACTGTATAGAAGTATAAACAAAAGTATGAGTATACATTGGTTGTTGGTAAAAAAAAAAAGTGTATCTGTCTATCGGTTAGACAGTTTATCATTGCTTGTCTATAAGATTTTATTGGAATATATTTAACCATGTCTTATTAGTGATTAAATAAATATGTTGTTTCATTTTGTAACACTGGATTTTTTTCAGACATTGGTGGCTATATCAGAGATGACTAGAGAGGCTTATAACAAGAATCCTGATTTTTTCCCAATCAAGCCCATGGATTATGGTCGTTTTCTTGTGATTTCACTTGGTACGGGTGCCAGAAAAAACGAGGAAAAATACGATGCGAAAAGCGCTGGGCAATGGGGCGTTTTCGGGTGGTTGTACGTAACACCAAGTCCACTGCTGAAGGCTTATAATCAGGCAAATGTGGACATGGTCGATTTCCACAATGCCGTGGTGTTTCAAGCTCTTCATTCGCAACACAATTATCTACGCATCCAAGTAAGTATTTTTTTATTCTTTTTCGAAGTTTGACTAAATAAATATATTAGGAGATATGATATTTCTAAGAAAACTCTTGCTTTAAAAGAAAAAAATAGGGTAGGGTAGTAAAATTAGTTTTGGTGTGAGAAATGTAAAAGTAATGTTATTTTGTAATTATATATGATTCTAGTTTGAATATCATATAGTGCTATCATATGATTAGAATATACTTAATTATTGATTTAGTAGCTCTTTATATTGTTTTCCTTCTTTTTGTTCTTAAAAAAATTTAAAATTGATCAGGATGACACATTAACTGGGAAGCTCGCTAACATGGATATTGCAACGAATGCGAACTTGAAAAATCTAGTTAAGGTTGGTGAAGATCTCTTGGAAAAACCAGTTTCAAGGGTTAATTGTCAAACAGGAGCTTATGAACCTATTGAGAATGGTGGGACTAACATGGAAGCACTTAAAAGGTACGTTTCTTTTTGTATTTTCTTTTTAGTTATGTACACTAGTTAGCTAGTAATTTAAAGCACATTAATTTTTTTTTTTTTTTTATGTATTATGGTTTACAGGTTTGCGAAATTACTATCCGATGAAAGAAAATTGCGGCTTTCCAACTTAAACTCTATCTCAAGATGATCAGTTTCAATTTATGTATAACTGTGTCAATTGTCATGTGTACACAATGGAGTGCGGTGTAATTTAAATTATAAATAATTGTTTTGTCATGCGTGTAAGTTAAATATTTTTAGTTGAACTCGATTTGTATAAGAACTCAAATGTGATTAATTGTTTATTATTACACTCATATTATGCACCCAAAAAAAAGAAAAAATATTTTGGTTTTCTATGATTCAACTCCAAATTGTTGAAGCAATGGTGCTTTTAGCCTTTCACAGAACGTGCAAAACATGCTACTTTATTCCCTCTCTCTCTCTCAAGTTCTGATAAGTAAATAAATGAAAAATGTGAATTGGAGAAGAGAAATGTGAATTAAGCAAATTCAAGTTTATTGTTTCCATCAGAGGACAAAATTGTCAAACTTAGCATCACATATCTGCAGCGTTTTTTACTTTTTTATTTTTTTTTTTTTTCATNTTTTCATTTTGAAGGATTCTCGTATTTTGGTAGAAGATGTTTCCTGTGGCTGCAAAATTTGCGTGTCGTTAAAGTGACAGTGCTTTGAACGTTTGTGTGTGTCCTTTGGCCAAATTTTACCTTGTAGAGGCTCGATTTGTTTTAAATGCTCCAGCTCTCGACTTTTTAAGATTGAAACTCGATTAAACAGAAAAAATTACCAAAGCTTCACATTGGTTTGAGGTGCCAAATACGAGCTTCAAGCTACTCAATTAATTTGTAGCCAGTTGGGCCTATTGGGCAACTTATGTAACTCACAATAAACTTTTCTGTTTAATTTAAGTCCAAGTCGGCCCACTTGACTCCTTAATCTTTTTAGAACTTTAACTTATAAAACGTGTTTAGTGGAAAATAGGTACTAATACTTCATTAATAAAAGTGATCAAAATTAATTAGAAACATAACAATTGATAAGTTGAAACATGTTCACAATTTATATATTTAATAGTATATTTTTGTATACTTAATTTTATCACACTCTCGTTCTCTAATATTATATAATTTATAACTCATATCATATAATAGGTTGATAGAAGATTAGATAAATACTAATTTATTAATTTCCAATTAGAATATCTAGATAATTTAATTTAATTCTAAAAGTCACATATAATTATTTATTTTATTTTATATAAACATATAAATACTAAGTCGATGATCATAAAAAGATGATCAACGTGATATACAAATATAAAAAATTAACAACACTTGAGAACATAATTAATAAGCTTTAAAATATACTTATAATTTATATTATCCAAGTGTTTTATATACATTTTTAAAAGTGGTAATAGACATGAATAAACTTATTCGACACCAAATATTGACACACAGGACCAAATATCAAAATTGACCCATAAATTTACAAAACGTCACAAATCCATATATATAAATATGCAAAGTTTTCTAAGCTTATTTGTCGATTTACGATACTTCTTAATCTTATGTGTCGACTTCTGATGGTTCATAAATAGTCATATTTGTCAAATTTTGGTATTTCGAAGTAGACCATGTCAACGTTTATTCATGTCTATTAAGAATCAAATTATTAATATATTTTACTACTTAATAACTTTTTTGTTTGTTATCATTTTTCATCACATATAAATATCAAATTAAATTTCCTTTTGATGATATTTTATTTACATTCATAATGAATACGCAAAATAAAAAATATATTACTTTTATGTAAATATAATTAAATGAGCTACTAATATTTTTTTTAAAAAGTATTTAATTTTTTTTAAATTTTATTTACATTTTAAATATATTATCTTTAATTAATTAACACATACGTGAAACTCAAGAAATATTATACACACATATATGTGTGTGTGCGTTAACTCTAAGCATCTGAGGAAAATCAACTTGACCTTAGCCTTTTCCTTATAAATAGGGTACGTAGTATCCATTCTAGGGTTATACCAAAAAACAGAAGAAAAAAAAAAGCAAGCGTATCAATTGTCAATAATGAGGAAAATCAGTAATGGATTTCGATTTAGTCCTAACGATTCGGAATTCATCGATTATCTCCTGGGTTTCGCCACTGGGAATTCCCCTCCCTCCCACGGCTTCATCTCCATAGCCGACCTCTACGGACAAACGGAGCCTTGGGAGCTGTTCGAAAATTCTGAGGTAAAAAGTGGCGGCGGCAGCGGCTGCCGTTATTTCTTCACCAAACTCAAGAAAGTCGGCGCCAAGAAGGGAAGAAGCTACCAGCGCTACTCGAGAAACGTGGGGGCCGGCGGGAATTGGTCTAACAAAGGCCAGAAATCCGACATCATCGGCCCCAAGGGCAACATCATCGGACACTCCAGAACTTTCCGCTACCAGCCGAGAAGCTCTGACGACGTGGGCCCCACCCGCGGCGAGTGGGCCCTCAAGGAGTACTCTCTTCCCGAGGGCACGGCACTGGGACTTGACGAGGATCAACGGGACTACGTTCTCTGCGTACTCAAGAAGAAGAAGGAGAAGAAAAAAACAAGTAGTGGCGTTGTCCAAGCTGTCGAAGCAGATTTTGACTATCTGGTTGCCATGCTGGCAGCCCCGGTCGAGGATGATGTTGCGCCCAACGAGAGTTTGCCGACTATGCACGCGTGGACTGGGGTTAATGATGTTGTGCCACAAGAAGGGCTTCTGGAATATTCTGATGAAGGAGGTTATTGTTATGACCATCAGCAGCTCATACAGGCCATGCCGGTGACAGGTGGCGAGGTCGTGTGGCCTTCGGTTATCGAGAGTTTGCCAACTCATCAGCACATGTGGACTGGGGTTAATGATCATGAGGTGCCACCTGAGAGCTGTCGGTCACAAGATTTAGGGTTGCTGGCGGAATATGTTGGTTTCGGACAAGTTAATAATGAAGATTGTTCTCAGAACGAGCTGGCGACAGGTGGCGAGGCCATGTGGCAGTCGATTAACGAGAGGTCGCCTCTGCACATGTGGAGCGGGGTTGGTGATGATATAGTATTGGGTCATCATGATCCGGTTTTGGAAGACGATTCTTTTGACTTCGATGATGTGGATAATTGGTTGCGTACGAATGGGGTTCCACAGCCGGTATACTGATCGGTTGACAACTCTTGGACTTTGTACTCTCTTCTTAGAAGCTTATTTTCTCACAGCTTCCTGAATTCTGTTAAATGACATTCTTCTAATTATATATACAAGCTTTTTTCTGAATTTGGCTAGATGACATTCTTGTTATTCTTTGCCGCATGCCTTATTGTTTTTGAAGAATAATAGCAAGCATACTTATAGTACGTACATTTAATCCGCAGTCAGGTTAACTTAATTCATGGAAAACAAACTAGGTGGCCAAGTAGCTTATACAAATTAATCTCCCGTATAATATATTATGTTTTGAATCAATTATATTGATTAACTTTTTTGCATTATATTTTACATTACATGCAGCGCTTATTAATTAATTTCTACAACATTTTTTAAAATGGATTTTTCTCGACCGAGCAACAATAATTAGGCACATCAATTTGGCGGCAAAAAATCAATTTTAGTCCGCTAACTTGTCCATTGTCCACTTTTGGTACACTATCTTTCCCTTCATAAAAAATGGTCCATTATGTTACACTTTTCATCAGTTTTAGTACACTAATCCCGTGGCCCGGGATTACGAGATGCCAAATCAAGTTTTTATCCTACCACGTCAAAATCTTATCCCTCCACGTAGTTCCAATCTCGGACCACGTCATCTTGTAATCCCGCCAACTGGAGTAGCGTATTAAAACTGATGAAAAATGTAACATAATGGACCATTTTTTATGAGGGGAAATATAGTGTACCAAAAGTGGACAATAGACAAATTAGCGGACCAAAATTGGATTTTTGCCCCAATTTGGCATTATTAACCTTGTGACTTAGGCCTAGATTTCATTCAAAGTCCATCTGAAGCAGTTCATTAATCACACATGCCACGGCCCAAAAGAGAGTACCTATGTCTTATCAATGCACATTAAATCAAACCTATAACAACCTTTCTTTTACTATTATTATTATTATAAATTTTTAACATATATATAATTAATTAATTACAAGACACGACGACATGTTTTTTCCAAAATCAACAAATAAAAATCATCACATTGTTGGGTAGAATACCAGCGGACAAAACTACACCTACAATAAATATGACAAGCACTACTCCAAACGAATATAAGCCAACATAAATAAATAAAAGACGAGAAATAAAAAGAACAAAAAAATTGATAACGGAGTTAGGCAAATATTGCCTACGTCTCCGGGCACAGCCAACCGCAATGCCAAACTTACTAAACTTATTTATTGTGTTTTTGTACTTATTTTCTTGTGTTTTATGTGTTTAAGTTTAGTACTACTAGGTTCGTTTTAGTGTCAACCGGTCCATTTTATCGCGTTTCGTGCATTTTTATTCTCATATTGTGTTTTTGTGGTTCGGTGTACTTTTCTTGTCTTTTTGGTGTTGAATAGGTCCATCATTACTATGCTTGGGGCAACAAGCCATTTTCGAGACATTTCCGAGCCATGTCCGAGCCACGCGAACTATTTCCGAGCATATTTACTAATTGCGTGGTGATATCGATTTGAGCATTCCAAGATGAGGAGAAAAAGATTTGAGGAGCGTGGGTCGAAATTTCAAGTCAATCGAAGAAGTGTGCGAGAAGATAGAGCGAACCGAGCATCAAGGGATCACAGGAACCGAGTCACGGCAGTTCAGCGCTCGCGACCCGCGCCCGCGAGTCCACAGTCGCGCCTCCAGATTGCGAGTCCGCGTACTCGCTCCCGCGTAGCGCCCGATAGCCGCGAGTGCCCAGGAGCGCACCCTTGCCCGCGAGCTTTCCCATCCGCGCCCGCGAGAAGTCGATAGCCCGCGAATGCCCAGACAGCACTCCTGCCTGCGAGTCCAGCCATCCGCGCCCGCGAGAAGTCGATAGCCCGCAAGTGCCCAGGCAGCACTCCTGCCCGCGAGTCCAGCCATCCGCGCCCGCGAACAATGCCTAGGTCGCGAGTCCGCGCCTACCCCAAGCCACACTCGCGCCCGCGAAAATCCACCTTCTACTCGCGAGTTCTACCTAGCTCGCGAGTGTTTTCATTTAATGTGTGTGTTTAGTGCGTGTTTTTGCTATCCAATATAAATACATTTTAGTCCTTTGTATTTGGGATATCTAGATTTCATTTGTCACTTTCTCACTTTGGGAATATCTATTTTCTTTTTAGTTTTCTCTATATTCTCTCTCTTGGAGCTCTATGACATCATTTTCCAGCGACTTTTATTTTGTTCAAGTTCCGAGCTTTTGAATTTGATTTTCATCTAGCACGCAATAGAAGATTGGGTATTTACTTCGATTTTTGCCTCGTTTTTACTTATGAAGTTTTTCAAAGTAATTTTGGGTGGTTGCTTGATGATGGATGGAGAGTTTGGACTTGATCATTGTAATTGCTTGTTTTAGTAGGGATTAATTACTTGTCTATCTAGATTAAGGGTATTTAGAGCTTAATCACTTAGGTTAGAAGGTTGGGGTTAGTGACCTAGTGCTTAGAACTTGCAAATTTCTCTTCGTTGATTTTGTTTGGTGTCGATGGCATAGAGACTCCGGTAGTGTTAATTGCTATATTCTCCCGTTTACTTGTTGCTTTCAATTTCGAGTATCGATTAGCATTAATTCACCCTTCAACCCATTGATTAGCATGTTTAGCTTTTATTTTCTCGTTTTACGTGATTTGGACAATTGAGTAGTGAACAAAGCTCCGAACCGTCTTCCTTTGAGAACGACTCGAGGTCGGGTAGTTCGGTTACCAGCTACCCACAAAATACTACTAAACACTCACCAACAAAATACAACTAGGGTTAAATAACCCACAAATTAGGATTTTCTTAATTAAGAATTTCCTTTTAAGATATGAGAGAATAGAATGAGGTGCAATTGTAATCCAAAGGCAAGGGACCTATTTATACTAATAAGATCCTACACATCTTTGGTACACATTCGATGTGGGACATAAAATTAACCAATATCTAACAATTCTCCACCTTGACTAATTTTGCTCCCACTTCGATTCTTCAATCCAAATCATTTGCTGGCGGTGCCTCCATATGCACCTCTCGGCGCCAACTCAATTATGTAGAATGTTGGTCAAGTCTAAACAATGTTCAAACTTGACTGTTGTCACTACCTTGGTAATCATAACTGCAGGATTTTCCGTCTCTTGATCTTCTTCAACACAACGGTTCCATCTTCGAGAATCTCCCACACAAAGTGATAGCAAACATCAGTATGCTCCGTTCTTGCATGAAGTACTTGATTTTTCGCTAAGTGAATAGCGCTCTGATTGTCACAATGCACTAAGGTGTGCTTTTGACTAACTCTCAAGTCTTCAAGCAAACTTTGAAGCCAAATAGCCTCCTTCACAGCTTCAGTAACCGTCATATACTCTTGTAATGGTCACATGTTGTGACGAAGATGATTGGTAAACCCGAAGATGATGTTGGGTCCCATGCGTCGATGGTGCAGGCGATTCAGAGGATTATTCAGAGAGATTGGAACGTTCGAATCCAACATGTGCATACGGAAGCAAATTATGCCGCAGATCATATGGCGAGCCTGGTAACTTCTCTCCCGTTTGGACTACAGCTAGTAGTTTCCCCTCACTCGGGACTGGGAGCTTGGTTAGAGCATGATATTATTGGGTTGTCGTATCTCTGTCGAGTTTTAACTTAGGCCTATGATCTCCTTCATTA